ACTCAAGTGGAACACACACCACATACCTGGTAGCATGGCACACCGCAACCAGCTGCGTTGTCATCGGATGCTCCTCGTGAGGAACAGACTCACCTGTGCGATTGAACATAAAATCCAAAGAGATGACATTCACCTGGCGCTTAGGTTCGACAACAGGGTGACCATCCTCTCGAGAACGGGCTGCTTGGCATGCTTCACACCAGTCTGCTCTGGGGATATGCGTAAGCTCATGAATCATCACCGTCTGGGGATCAGGCTTCACAGGAAGTGGCCCATGGTTCACGTCAGGGGTGTACGCTTCCACTACCGCATCGCTAGCCTGAACAGCCACCTTCAACTGGTTCATTGCCACCTCTTTCTTGAGACGGTCCCAAAGCGTGGCTTTGGGTCCAGTGTGGGGAATTCGCAGGAACTTGCACCCCCATCTCAAATCTCTCAAGCTAGACTCTTCCCTCAGCTCTTTCTCACCAAGCTTGACAACCTCACCGGTGTCAGGCACCACTGTCAACTCGGGTCCCAAAACAGGAGCTCCAATGCTCTGCCGAGGCTCATCTTCAGCTCCAGCAGCCTCGAGAGCAGCTTGGCCAGAATCTCCAGCATCACCAGGTGCAGGTCGAGGAAACCTGGGAACAACGGCCACGTCTTCTGCAACTACTTTTCCTAGCGACTCGGGCTCGACAGGCTGGGTGGTGAGGATGGTGATCACTTTGGTAGGGCTGCCTCCCATCTCCATCACAGGCTTTGGCTCCCAGTACTCACCGCACTCGAAGACTGTGTAGCGCCGGCCGCTCTGTTGCACCAAAGTGGTACGATGCGCAAAAACTTCAAGATCATACATCTCACTGGGGTCGGTTGTAGTAGACGAACTGTTGTTCACATGCGTGGGCTGACCATTCTCATTCAACTGCCAACCCCTTCTCTTCAAACTGTTCACAAACGACTCACCCAACTCAACCACCATGCGCACCTGGGCCTCTTCCGTTCTGAAAATTTTCATGGTAGCAGCAATGGAGTTCCTTGCCCAATGTAGAGGAAAAGCTTGAGAACCCTTGGTCATCACAAGGTTCTCTGAGTCAGGGCGAGGAAGCCACCCATCACGAATCAACTTGCCAGCACAAAGAAGTGGTTGCTTGACACGTGCTAGCACTGCCTTGTCTTTATTAAAGACGATACTGCTACCATCGCAACCTTCCACAACGAACGTCACTCCTTCCCTCACGGCAGCTTGCGGAATGATCGAGCCTTGCGCATCCACCAAGGACACGCTCGCGTGGTCTTCGATGCCCACCTCGCCAAAGATGTGCATCGGAAGCACCGTGACATCAGCACCTGAGTCGAGGATTACTTCGTGACCTTCTGCTACTGTACGCACGCAGAGTTCGGCTTCTTCAGCTCGGGCTTGCTGCAACAGAACCCAATCACTTTCAGCTCCACTTGCAAGCTCACACTGGGAATCAACTTCATCTTCATCGCACAAAGAGAAATGCAAAGTGGAAGTGGAAGGCAACGAGCAGCTGCTACCACACTCAGACTGGACATCCTCTAGCAACTCATGATCTGCAGGCTCCACAACCTCAGCAACCATGCGCACATAGCCACCGAACCCATCATACTCATCCCAACCTTCTTCCCAAACTTCTTCTGAATCAGACCACGAAAGATCATGAACATGGCTTTCCCACAGTGGCTCGCCAACCTCACCTGCCTCGGTCTCGTCGAAGATCTCCTCCATCAGGACGTCATGCGCGAACTCCAGCCGGCGAACCTGGGATGTGGCAGAAGGTCGGGAGCTACTCGAAGGGGCCGACTGCGACGACGTAGTAGGGGCTGAGGTGGCTCGGGTACTCACAGACAGGCTGTCATCATCTGCAGCTACTTGTTGCACACGGGCTCGCAAATGACACTCTGCAGCACGATGCCCCATGCGCCCACAGATAAAACATGGACCTTTTCCCTTTCCACCAGGACTGCCAAAACCTTTCCCAAACGAATTGCCTTTCTCCTTCCCTTTGCCACCACCAAGCTTGCCCTTGACATTGCCCTTGAAATTGCCGTAGCCCTTGTAACCCTTGGCCTGGTCGTAACCCTTGCTGTGCCAGGAACCCTTATCGCCTTTGCCCTTCTTGCCTTTGTCCTTTCCAACATCACCCTTCTTGCCTTTCCAGGACCCATGGGCACAGGCCCATTTCCTGGGTGCAAAGGCGAGTCTTTGTCTACCCCGATGGCCTTCAGAACGTGTTCTGTAGACCATGTAGCTGCTGTTCGTTCGAATTGAAGAAGAGTGCTACGGAGACCATTGTACGTAGTGGAGTCGTCAATTTGTAGTTGCAAATATCGCTTGATATCTTGTGGCAAGCCAGACATCAGCGTGGAGATCTTTAGATCCTCCGGGTACCGCGCGGACGATAGCTTCTCATACTCAGTGATAAGGCGTTCGTACCCTAAAGTGTAGTCCAGTACTGAGGCACCCTCTTTCAAGGGTGGAAAGCGCGTGAGCGCCTGCGCAAGCGCAAGCACGCGCGGGCGCGAAGTTGGTTGTAGTTCTTCCTTCAATTGGCGCCATCCTCTGAATCCGTCTCCTTTTGGTTCTGTGCGAAGAATTTTTAATGCTCGCCCTTTCAAATAAGATGCAAGGATAGAGTACAGCCGCAGCGATCTCGCTCTGATAGCAGGGCCATAATCCTCAAAAGCCAAAAACTCTGTTGACGTCTCTGCCTTGGCAAAGTCACCCCTGTATTCATCATCTTGTATGGCCATGAAGTTCTTGAAGCTGAAGGCCCATTCGGGCCACATACTTATCTCTTCCTCTATGCTCTTGGGGTTGAATATCTCGGGGGCCTTTACGTACTTG